TTAGATCACCGTTAGATAGATCTTTTATTTCTTGCATTCATTAAAAAATGTATATTGCTAAATGTAGCACCTGTTTTCAATGTCATGATTACTTCAATATAACAGGTTTCCTTTGAGATTCTGTGCATTTCAAACATCGTTCCAAGAAGGAGCCTTCAGCAGACTGCGCACCAAAGGGGGTGCCGCCTCCCCATGATGAGATGCAATGTAATGTAATGATGCTATGAAGTCACCAATTAACTGAAAGGGAGTTTCCTCAAAGGCATGACCTGTTTCCAAAACAAGTGGCTGCTCTGGCAAAGTCTGCATGATTTTCTTGAGTCTGGATCCTAGATCTGGCTTGTCAGGTGACCTCAGTTTTTTGAGACTCACGCCTGCAACCTTCTGTATCACCTGCCAATCCTGGAAATCAGCAGCAACCTGCCTCTGACCTGCCCACCTTGGATTCATTTGCCTCTGCAATCCAAAGTGTGCCACCTGAGCTGTCAAACCTTGGGTCCATTAGCTCCTAAAGCTACATGACCCAGCTTGACATTTGACCTATGGACTACAAGTGTGTGAGTCATTTCCTTGATATAAACCTCTCTCTCTAAATATGTACATATTTATGTACATATTTAGAGAGAGAGTCCTGGTGTGGCATTGCAGGTTAATGTGCTGGACTGCAAGGTAGATTTGAACCACAAGGTCCGCAGATCAAGCTCACTTTTTATATATATAAAATTCTGGTGTGGTGCTATAGGATAAACAATGGACTGCTATCCTCAAGGTTGGCAGCTGAAACCCACCAGCTGTTTCTTGGAAGCCCTGTACAGGGTCACTACGAGTCTGAACAAACACAATGGAACTTAATATAAAAGCTTCACTGGTTTTGCTTCTCTAAAGACCTCAGCCTAAGACAAGCCTATTCTAAAGCCAGTCCTCACACCCCCCAGCCCAGTCTCCAGGAAGATGACAGAGTAGCTCCCAGGGCCAATGTGTGTTATGTGGCATCCTCATCACTAAATCTCTACTAGTCCTCAACTTTAAATATGTACCCTCTTAAGCTGTTTCCCCATCTGCTGAAGCTGGCCTCGGAACTAGGGTGAAGTGAGCAGACTGCTTGGTATGCAACATTTAAGAAGGCACCTGCTTTCAAGGTCACACAGATGAGAGAAGACACACAGTCTTGAATGTCTGCCCCCCTGAAATTTGGCACCATGGGGCACCTCTCTTACTTCACCATCATCCAGGCCCAAATATATACTCAAGAGTTTTAAGCAAAGCTCTTGAAAAGTGCTCTCCTCGGCTTTCATCTGAAATCATTCTTAGCCCTGGGGAGTGCTCAAACTGCTTGCTCAGGCTGCGTGCAAGCTAATCACTCACTTCAGAATCTCAGGGACGAGTGGGGCCCAGTCACCAAGATCTGTTTTGTTTTTCACTTTTATTTAAAGTTCTCCAGGTGATTCTCAAATGCAGACAAGGTTATTGTCTTTTTACTGCCTTGTTAATGCCTGAGAAAGATGACAGGGAGACCTGGCTGACTGCTGCCAAAGCCCCTTTGGAGTTCTAGATGAATCCCAATCCCAATTATTTTAGCTTAAAGAAGAACAAATGACTAGCACTCATTCCCCATGCATAAATGTTCACCTAGACATTCATTCAACAAATATGTACTACGTGCCTACAATCGCCCACAAACACTCTTCTTTCCCCAGAGGTAAGCTTACAGACTAGTGAGGCTGACAGACAAAACACGAGTCACACCTCGGAAACCAAGACCCACAAGCTCTAGGAAACCTGCTGAGAATGAATCAGGGAAGGGGCTGCCACCCAGGAGCATTAGGCAACAGGCCCGCCAAGGAGTACCTCATACCTGGAGATCTACTTTACATAGGATGGTGGTGATTGCTTCAGGGTCCTCAAAGATGAAGAGGAACTAACAATGGGCAGCAGACCTTTACGAGCCTGAGGCCTTAGGTAAAGTGGGCTTATAGCCTACCACAGAAAAGAAAGTGCCCAGAAATGGCTAGGAGGTCAGGGAGGCTGAGGGACATAGACTAAGCAAAGGGAGGTGTTTGTGAGGAGGATAGAGAAACAGGCAAGGGGCAGACCTGGTACGGTCTTTGAGATCACTGGAGGGGCTGGGAAATTTTTGCCATATGTAACAGGAAAGCTGTTGATGGCTATTTGTAAAGCGTATTCTCACTACTATATGAGAAAATAGACTGGTGTAAACAAGAAACCAGGGGAACCAGTGTGGAAGCCATGGTGGTAGCTAGGTGAGCAGTTAAGGTGACATGGCCTATAAGGGGCCTGTTGCCACAGGCAATGGTAACAGAGCTCCACTGCCAGGACTGTGAATGGATTCCATCCAGGAGAGAGGGAATGGGAGGAGTCAGGACAGGGTTCAACTTGGCACCATCGACTGTAGTGGGATCTACAATCAACACTCATGGAAGCAGCAGTCAAGAAATCAAACGACATATTGCATTAGGCAAGTCTGCTGCAAAAGACTCTTCAAAATGCTCAAGAGCAAAATATATCAGTTGGAGGACTAAGGTATGTTTGACTCAAGCCATAATAGTATTTTCAATTGTCTCATATGCATGGGAAACTTGGCCAATGAGTAAGAAGGACCATAGGAGAACTGAAGCATTTGAGTCATGGTGTTGGCGAAGAATACTGAAAGTACCATGGACTTCCAGAAGAACAAGCCAATCTGTGATGGAAGAAGTACAGCCAGAATGCTCTTTAGATGCCAGGGTGGCCAGATTTGTTTCTCATACTTTGGACATGCTATCAGGAGGGACCAGTTCATGGAGAAGGACATCATGCTAGGTAAAGTGAAAGGTCAGTGAAAAAGAGGAAGCCCCCCAACGAGACGGATTGACCCAATGGCAGAAGCAATGGGCTAGAATGTAACAATTGTGAGGATAGAGCAGGACGGGGCAGGGTTTCATTCTGTTGTACACAGGGTCACCAACTCAACAGCACCTAACACAACAACAAAGGGTGGGAGGTTAACCCAGACACACAAGTTCATGTCACCCAAGGGTGAGTCCTACTCTCTCAGATGATGCGTGCCTCACACAAATCCAACTCAAGAACCAATGTGATGTAACTGTAACCAACACCAGTGACTTTTCGATCGCTTCTATGTCTCATAGCAATGAACACCAAACCAGCTGTGGAAACATTCCATTGACAAACCTATTTCCAAGAACTCAAGCAAGTAATACAAAGGGATTTCTTTTGGGTCTGATTATTCCCATTCGCAAACTGTTCTATGATTGCAGAATACAGTCACCATTTCTTTCATGAAGGAGTCATGGAGGGGAGACTATTCTGCATTATCAACTAGGATCCAAACTCTGCTAGCCTTGTGTCTTTAGGAAGGTTACTCAATCTCCCTAAACTTCAAGTTCCCCATAGATAACAAGACCACCACAGTAAATACTGCCAGGCTCATCCATAACCAGCTCTCCTCTCCTTGCAGACAAAGGAGAGAAACACTTGCCCCAATCCGCCCTGCAGTTCATTGGATCCACATGACAAGTTCTGGCCAACAGACGATTAGCAACCGTAAGGAGGATCACAGAGTCCAAACCATTGAAGTGTGGGAAACTTCGGTGGCCTCTGCCCCTGTGTGGCAATTGTGGAATTCAGCATGTGCTGAATTGGAGGTGCCACAAGAAAGAGCAGCCAAGATCACTGAGGCACTCCTTGGAGGGCAACCGCCCTGGAGAGTCACCTCCAGTGACTGCAATGTTTCTTTTGTTAAAGCATTGAAATTTTGCCAGGTTTTGTTATCCGAGGCAATCCAAAGTGACACAAGTAGCTGTGTGAGGAGGATACTGTGAGGATTAAAGGAGACCATCCTTTTACTTACCTCCGTGCCTGGCATACACAGAAGGTGATGGTGGTAGTGTGCTATGGAGTCGGTTCCGACTCATACTGATCCTATACAGAGTTTCTGAGGCTGGGCATCTTTAGAGGAGCAGAAAGCCGCGTCTTTCACTCATGAAGCAACTGGTAGATTCGAACTGCTCATCTTAGCAGTTAGCAGCCCTGCTCATAATGGACTATGCTACCAGGACCCCTGCGGCAGAAACTTGTTGATTAGTGGGAAGGCTTCATCCTCCACAGCCAGCCTGCCCTATCTTCTCAGCTGCTGTGAGCATGGTGGGGCGGGAGCAGAGCTGGTAAGACTAAGAAAATGCTAACTCGAAACTTGGAAAGCATAGGTTAAATTCCAGCACGAGCATTTGATGAGCTATTATGCAGATATTAAATAGGGGGTTGCAAATATTACACAGCAACAGCATGGGAAATTGCTAATGATAAGAAATGCAGGCTGTTCAATCTATATGCTTTAGGCTCAACTATGACTGGGAAATGAGGAAGACTAGAAGGAAATACAAATTGTAATGGTTGTGCTGCACTGATAGGACCATGATGAGTGGCTTTTTCTCTATTTCATACATTTTTCAAAACATAGTTCCTTTTTCATTACACTGTGTTGGGAAACTTTTAAAAAACCATTAAACACAAAAATTCACTGTGGCCCCAAAGTATACTTAGCATCAAAAACAGTGCTATGGGGGATGGGAAATTAGAAGATGAAAGAGGTAAGGGGCAGGTCCACTCAAATGCTCCCAGTCACTCCTCTCTTAGCCCATTTGAGGTGTCACAAGCTAAAAAGTACACGGAATAGTAGTATTTTGTCACTGGTTCTACAATTCTGTCCCAATCTCTCCCTGCTAGACTGAAAAATCTATTTTAGCTGAAGGTTAGTTAAAAGGTACTAATCTCAGGTTAGTTTCTGAATTTTTTCAGAGAGAAAGAAGAAGAAAAAAAACTATTTGATTTTACAAAGGAGTTGAGGGAAGCAAGGAGAAATCTCACCAAAGCCAATAAAGCAGGCTATAAACCCACTTAAAACCAAAACCCACCAAAAACATTCTCATAACCAAGAAATCTGTCATGGACAATAAAATGCATAAATGTGAGCTACTCACCACATTTAATACTCTCTATCCGCACCGGGAGGCCAGATTGCGCTGCTGCAATTAATTTCAGGGCGACATAAAACTGTGTCGGACCAAAATAACCAACACGCTTTGCACCGCACAGCTCTGTGATCTGAAAACAGAGGCAAGAAAAATGATGCTGAGAATCCCATTGCATAACAGGAAAATGAGACCAGCTCCATTATGAAATCTGGAGGATTTCACGGTATAGCTCACCAAAAAGGCCTTTGAGAACCTGGGTATGTACCGGTTTTGTTCATTTCTTCCAGTTCACAGTGAGATTTAAAGTTCAGAGAGTTCTCTTAGCGCCTACCTACTCCTGATGTTTCAGGACCAAGTAAGTGATTATTCCTCCTCTTTCAAAGATAAAAATAAATGTGACAAAGGATGGCTGTTACTCTTCTTTCAAAAGAGAGTCACTTTTTCAGGGGGCGGACTCTAATGTTCAAAGTTTAGAAAGTCACTGGGGTGAAAAGAGAACAGATTAGTCATTACCCCTCCTTGTAGATTTTCCTAGTTTGCCAAAATGAAGAACAATACACAAACATGGTCAAAACATTGCAATCTTTCATTTCCAGACCTAAACCAACATACCCCTTGTTGGTAGCTGAGTAATCAAAAATTAAATACTCAATAACGTTTTAAGAATTAGTTCAAAATAATAGATGTTCAAATAATAGTAAAGGGTGGTAAAGAACTAAATCAATCCCCTTGCCATCAAGTTGGTTCTGGTTCATAGCACATCAATAAGACAGAGTAGATCAAAACAACAATGAGATCTCATCTCACACCAGCAATAACAGTGAAGTTCAAAAACGCAGAGGACAATAAATGCTGGCGAGCATGCTGGTGGGAATACAAAATGGTCCAACCATTCTGGAAAACAGTATGGTGCTTCTTCAGAAGGTTGGAAATAGAAATACCATATGATCCAGCAATTCTCCTACTTGGTATGTACCCACAAGAAAAATGAGCCATATTACGAGTAGATTTGTATTATGTAGTATGCACACCAATGTTCATAGCAGCACTATTCACAATAGCAAAAAGATAGAGACAGCCTAAGTGCCCATCAAGAGAAGGATGGATAAACAAACTGTGGTACATACACATAATGGAATACTATGCTACCTTGAAGAACAACAAGGAAGCTGCAAGCCATCGCAGAACACAGACATTATGCTGAGGGAAATTAGTCAGTCATGAAAGGCCAAATATTGCATAAGACCATTATTGTAAAAGCTTAAGAAAAGATACCCATACTAAAAGGAAAAAAAAAAAAATCTTTGTTGGTTATCAGTGGGGTTGGAGTGCTGGGTTTTGGAGGAAATGGAAGGAGGCGACGGTGGAGCACAGAGTAGGGGCAGACACATCATAGTTTGGGTGTTAGGGAGGGCAGTACACAAAAAGGGGGAGGGGTGGAAGAACAAGGTAGATAGGGGAACACTGAGACAGCTTTGCATGGCCTAAGTGGGACAGAGGTAAATAGTGATGCCTGCTCAACCTTGGAACAACAGGACTCTGTGACACACGGATTGAGGCATAGTCTGACGAGGGGAAATAATATTAAGATGCTTGACTGTCTTGATTTCCCTTGCCTACTATTGTAAAATGGACACTTGAGTTGGATAGAAAGGAATGTTGGGAAACATGATTACAGAAAGCTTTTAAGACTGTCTTCGGCCTATAACTGATTGGAATACCTAAAAGGGGTTTTAGAAGTTGCCCAGTGAAATAGACCTCCTGCGGAGCCTCTGCAGTGTATAGGACCGTAAGTGGTATCCTGAGCCCCATCCAAAACGTTCTGAGGTGGGACGTTCCCACTATAAAGGACAAGCAGACCAGCCTGGAACAGCTGGAGCAACAGAAGATACATCTTCAAAGAAAGGTCATCAGAGAAAAAAAAAATGACTAGCTACTACAAGAATAAGCTAGTTGTTCGCCAGGAAGCCATCAAGGCAAGCAATCAAGTTCCCTCAGGACAAACCCCCTTCTAAGACTAAAACTCAAAGGGAACACAAGAGCAGGCATGTAAACTTGCTGGCAACCACATTGGTCTACTGGTGAGTGGAAGAGGGGGAATGGCAGCAATGAAGAAATGGGCTGAGTTCAACCAAGTTCCACAGACTCCCATTGATCTGGAGCTGACAGAGTGAAGAGGAAGGGCTGGTTGGTCCAAAGTGTGGTGAGACCTGGGGACACCTGAGCCCAAGGACAAGGACATAGCCACAGAGGGTTATAGATGAGAGTGAAGCATCCAGTTGATATGAAATGAGGGGAGATGCACAAGAACACCCAAAGTTGCAGATAGTTACCATGACCTAGCCTCGATGGCTTCATAACTAGAGGAAGATGGGGGTGGGGTGGGGGTGGGGAAACAACAACATTTTTTGATAAAGGAAATGAAGGTCAATTGCTACAATTTGATGAACGTGACCTATACTCATGGAGGTAGTTACTCTAAATACCAACAGAGAGGGATGGAGTCTTCATATCAAGTATCAATGCTATCCCCTCTGTACATAGGGTAGATAGGAAATGGGCAACTTCGATGCTGGCTACCTAAAATGAGGGGGTAATAAAGGCATAAAGTGATTTGGGTTACAAGGTCTCAAGGGGAAGTTTAGTTTAATAGTGTGTGGGGGACAAAGACTCCCCGCTGAATAGTTTTCATCTTGTCTAGATGGGTCTGCTGAAAAGAGATGGGGATAAGATTCTTTTGATTCAGTAGTGAGTAATTGTTATTGTGACTAATCGCGACTGTCACAATTGTAAAGGTAGAAGTTTTGTAATAGAAATGGGGGAGTAATCTTACAGTTCAGAAACAAAGGACCCTAGGACCATCAAGGGGGAAGAGCACGAGCGGAACGCGGGACCCTATCCAGAGAAGCAGTGATACCAGAGATGGAGGCAGAGATGGGGGACAAGGAAAGAGGGAGCAGCTGAGGACAATGATTCATGGGTAGAGAGGGACTAAGAGATGGCGGCCAGGAAACAGCCGTGCAGAATGTGCCCTTTGGTGCTGTAAATTATTATATATGCCTGAGTGTTTAAAAAATAAATAAATAAAGTGAATAGAGAGAAATACTGTTAACTAATGGTAAAAGGAGCTCTGGTAGTGTAGTGGTTACGAGTCGGGTTGCCAACCTCAAGGTCAGCAGTTTGAAACTACCAGCTGTTCTGTGGGAGAAAGATGAGGCGTTCTGCTCCCGTAAAGATTTACAGCCTCGGAAACCCTGTGCAGGGTCACTATGAGTCGGAACCAACTCTATGGTACTTAACAACAACAACAACAACAACAATGGTACATGGAGGGGAATATATATAATCATTGTAACAGAACAAGGTGTATGATTTGTTGAATGTAAAACTGATGATCTGCCCTGTAAACTTTCACTCAACCCACAATAAAAACCTTTAAAAATAAAAAAAAATGAAAAAAGACAGAATACAACTGTCCCTCCCATAGGGGTTTGCAAGGCTAGAAATCTCTATACAGGGTTCCATGTAAGATTTATGACATGATTCCATCTGTTTTCCCATTACTATTGTCTTTTATTGCCCAAAGCTTTGACTGCCCCCAAGAGAACATCTAAGAATGGCAACATCAGCAAATGATGCCCTGCAATATTGTATGTATTACGTATTACTAAATATAAGATGTTCCAAAAAAGAGAGTGGGGACCCAGCCAGCTTGGATCTTGAATTAATATATTTAAAAAAAAAAAAAAAAAAAAGAAAGAAAAAAATGGATGAAGAACCTACAAGAACTAAGCGATGGGAAGGAGGCTACCAACGAATATAGGAGATTCAGAAAGATGATGAATCTGAGTCCCTGAAAGCTACAACAGAAGACATTCTCTTCAAGACAGAGAAAAAGGGTATCTGATCACTATGGACAAGTCTGACTTGGAATGATCCACCACCTGTATGTGGTAGTAGATGGAAGAAGAACAATGGAAAACCAAGATTTAAAGCTCAAAAGACTAGCATATAATTTAAAGGTATAATAAAATCATTTTTCTTTATAGTAAAAAAAAAGTGTACAAAAAAAACAAACACATCATTTGTAACTGCAATATGTTCTAAATATGGGACTACCTGCAACTCCCATTACTATCAAGCTGCTTCCAACACATAGTGACCCTGTAAGACAACGTAGACCTGCCCCCAAAGATTTCTAAAGCTACAATATTTATGAAGCATAATGCCACATTTTTTCACCGTCAGAGAATCTGGTGGGTTTGAACGGCTGACCTTTCACTGAACCACTGAACCACGAAGGCACCTTAATAAATGGATTGTTGTTGCTAAGTGCTGTCGAGTGGGTTCTGACTCACAGTGACCCTGTACAGGTTTTCCAAGAAGCTGGAACCACCAAACTCGTGGTTCTAACTGACTTTGGAGTCCAGTGCATTAGTCTACAGCAGCACACCTGGACTCTCTCCGATAAATGGATAGGTATATGATAAAAGCAAATATGGTAATTGTTCAGTGTTGTTAAATGCCATCGAGTTGGTCCCAACCCACAGCAGCCCTACATAGGGTTTCCCAGGGGCAGCTAGTGAGCTTGAACCATCAACCTTGCAGTTCAAACCGACTTCGCAGTCCAGCGCATTAACCTGCAACGCCACACCAGGAGTCTGGAAATAGTCATTAAATTATTGGTAGTGACTGAGGGGTGAAGTCTGAGAAGGAGGATTTTCCAGGTGGCAGTAACGTTTTATTTCTAAATCTGGGTGCTAGTTAGATTGTTGTTCGGTGCCATCGAGTCAGCACCGACTCATAGCAACCTTATATACAACACAATGGAACACTGCCCAGTCCTGAGCTTATTGCATCTCGTTAGGAATCTTCCACTTTTCCGCCGCCCCTTCACTTTACCAAACATGATGTCCTTCTCCAGAGACTTGTTCCTCCTGATAATATGTCTTAAGTATGAGAGATGAAGTCTGACTAGTTATATGTTGCTGTTGTTAAGTGCCGTGGAGTCGGTTCCGACTCATAGTGACCCTGTACAGGGTTTCCAAGGCTGTAAATCTTTACAGGAGCAGAAAGCCTCATCTTTCTCCTGCAGAACAGCTGGTAGTTTCAAACTTCTGACCTTAAGGT